CCCTCTGATGACCCAGATATCTGTGTTTAGACCTGTCATCCCAACTGGAGACTGAGTCCGGTGTCCAGCACCTCACAGAAATCTCTTGTGAGCATCCCATCATCAACTTAGCCCAAATCAAAATCAAACTGGATTGTCATCTTCCCCACTTTTAAAACCTGTGGTCTGAAGGTCAGTAAATGCAATCTTCATAGTTGCCCACGCAAGAGAAAAATGGACTATGGTCTCAATTTCTTACCTCTGACATCTATTTGGTCCTCAGTGTCTCTTGAATCTGTCCCCTCTTTTCTTTCCTCTTTCTTTTTGTTGCCTGGACTTTTGCAAGAGCAGCACAAGCTGGTTCTTCTATATCTAGTCACTCTCTTCCCATTCTTTTTCCACTACCTACTTCTCTACTCCCTTTTCTTGTTTTTTTTTTTTTTTTTTTTTTTTTCCATTGTTATTCGCTGACTCTTCAGTACCAAGGCACTGACAGGGAGCCATTTTATTTTAAGATACCACTCAATATGGTGTTCTCAGTGATGACCCCATGACACTCATCTGACCTAGGCCAAGTTGGGTGCCCCTCTTCTGTGCTTTCACATCGCTATTGTCATCATATTATACACAGAATGCTACTGTTCACTTGCTTATCTGAGAAACCTTAGAGATGAGATTCATTGGTCTGTTCTTCATCTCTCTGTCCCAACCAGACCCATGGTTGTGGCTCAATAATAAATACTGATGTTGTGAAGACAGAAATGAATGAAGGGATATTTGAACAATCTCTTCTCCACCACTTCTTAGAAGCGCGAACACTACTATGTTTATAATGACCCAGCTGTATAGGTTTTCAGATAGCTTGCTATTAAAGCACTACTATTTGATCAAGGGATCAGGGGGTCAGATTAGATAGTCTGTTAAAAGTTCCTCTCAATCCCCTCCTGGTAATGTATCCATGGATATGGAGGGTTACCCAAGGGGGCAAGGCTGACAAAGATCTAATGCAATCCTAGGATGCATTAATAGAAGAATGGTATCCAGTTCACCGAAGATAATAAGCTCCCTGCATTCAGCACCAGGTGAATTGTGATTAATTCTAGGTTCTGACTAAAGCAGGAGAGCCTCTCTCTGACATCTATGAAGAGAGGTCAGTGGGTAATGAACCTTATCTTATATAATCAATGGGTGAAGGTGCTGTGGATGTTCTGTGGGGAAAAGAGACATCAGCACAGAAATGAGCCTTCATGTATTTAAGGGTTGTTATGTGGAAGGGGAATTAAAATTATTCCATTAAGCTTTCAGAGCTAGGCTTTTCTGGCAGAAATTACCCACAGAGTAGATTTCAGCTAATTATAAGAAAGAATATTTTAACAATTGAAAATGGGCTGCCTTTTATGTTACTGAGTTTCTCAATACTAGTGATGTGCAAGAAGAATTACTACTTGGTAGGTACATAGTCTTTTCAGTCTCTTCTAGATATAAAATTCTACTGTTCTAAGATGGTGACCTTGCTCTCCTCATCTCCAAAAAAGGATTCAAGGAGAGATGGAATTTAAGTGTGTTGGGACAATTTAGGTAGCAAGGGAAACCATTTCTGAAAGACAATGGTATTTTTGAATAGGTCCATCTGAAGATTTAGGAAATCTCAATTATAGATGAACTTGAACAAAAGTCTGATTAGTCATTTTATTAAAATAATTTAACTAGTTCAAAATCAAGAGGAAGCAAATAGGCAGGCTTTTAATTCCTCTAATATAATTTAGTTTGACCTACATAATGTCTTCCCCCTTAGCCAGGAATTTTTGAGCCTGGGGATATTTTAAATAAGAAAAACAACAATAAATAAAAACAGAAAAGGCAGAGGGGAGATTATTGATTTATTACTTCATCAACTGTATTGCTAACTACATTAAGGAACTTGATTGTAACATCTTACATAATCCGAAATGATTGTTTAAAAAATTAGTCTTGTAAAAAAAATCCAGGTATTTATTTTTTATCTTAACTATTGCCAAACATTTATGTATTTTTAGATGCCTGAATATTTTTTCTTGCAACTAATTTTTATTTCATATGTGTCATTTACACAGATAGTTTTATTTTAACAAATCAATAAATATATCTTTTGTTTTAGTATTAAGGTATGAAATTCCAATTACTATTATATTTTATTATAGTTTATGTATACTACCTTTGCTTACTGTATGCATATAAATTCCACTAACATTAATAAGAATTATAAAATGAAAGCACATATTCATTAGTGTCTACTGTGCTTCTCAAGGTTATCCTAAGGTTCAGGAAGGAGTTTAATGAGTACCTAATGAGAACTTTTATACTACTGATTAAGAATATTTATCATGTTTGTGATATGGATATCACAATCTAACACTGGGAAGTTAGTAAAAAAAATTTGAGTTCCAAATACCCTCTTTTGTTATTAATCACATATGTGAAAGACACTTTGTGTTGACAAAGTTATGGTCTTTGAGTTCATTAATACTCAAAAACTGCTAATCTCATAAGGAATTCATCACAATTTAAATTTCATGCAGTATATGTCACTTCTGTAATAATTAATATTATAGAAGATAGAAAAAAGAAGTTGGGTCATGTTTTAAAATAGAACTTTCACCAATTTTTAAAAAACTGTCTGTTTAAAATTGAGTTGAATTTGTTGCTACTGCTTTGAAGAATAGTCTGTGAATATGGTGTGTCTAAAGAATTCAGTCAACTTTGTTATCTGTCCATTAACATGGGTTCTTAATTGTACATCTTAAAGAAGAGAAAAACATGCCTAAGACATTCTGAAAACCCCAACTAACAATTTGATTTGAATCTTTTAATCTATTTTACTTGCTAAGTTTAAAATTCCAGGTAAAATATAAAATGAAATTATTTATACAGGCTCTTCTGCAACTTACTCATTTTTGTTTAGTTTTCAGGACAGTTTCAAAAGTTTTGACATTTCCATTGTTTTGGACTTTGGACTAACTACAGGTTAACTTTTTTTGTAAGCACTTACCAAAAAGCTTCTTTCCATGGAATTGATAGGTTAATGAGAGCCCTACATTATGGAATGGTGGTTGAAATGATCAAATGTGGTGATAGATGTAAAATTGCTTTATAGCTATAAAAGGCTGTACGTGTATTAATTTGTTTTCATTGGATATTGCTGAAAATGGTCTGTAAAGTCAATAGCATCTGAGTGAAAATTCGGAAGGTTGTAATAAATATGTGGAATGCTCAGTGTCCAAGAAGCAGGATTTTGGTGCTTGCTTCCTCTCTGTCCTTTCTCTATATTTCTGTCTCTGCCTTTCTCTCTTTCTCATACAAACACATGCACCCACACATATTTTCAACGGGTTGTATTTTTATCTATACTTCCTGTAAACAGACTATACTAGTACTTTTCACACAAACTGACTTACTTGATGAGAAAAGTATATATATTTACATAATGTCATTCAAATTGATACCTAGTAGACTTCTTAAACCGTAATGATCAAGAGACACACGTAGGACCATATAACAAGTGTCCCAGGAGGTATAATTTGGGAAATAAGGCTAAAAATGAGTCAGTGAAATATCATGGTAAGAACTGGGTAGCTCTGCTATAAATCTTCTAGAGCAAAAAGAGAAGGACAAGTAAGGTGGGGGAGGGTGAGCAGGGAGAGTACTTTGCTACAGCCTTCTGGTTAGGAAAAAAAGAATAAAGTCACTGATAGTCCAAATATGAAAGAATAATTAATAAATCTATGTAGATATCATTATTTTACTGGTGAATATTTCTCAAGTTTCATCCAAATGAGTGATCGCTAGGACCAATAAAATCCCATTGATAATCACCAAATTTCCCTTTGGAAAATATCATTTTACCTCCATTATAATGAGACTAGAGAGAGGCCTGGTGCATGAAAATTTGTGCACTTGGGAGGACCCTTAGCCTGGCCTGCACCCTCTCATAACATGGGACCCCTCAGGTAGGGTCCCTAGGCCTGGCCTGAGATCAGGGCCTATTGGGGCTTTCCTTTCTCTGGCTGAGGGCAGCTGGCCATAACCCTGCTGCTGCCACTGCTTGCCATCTGTGCAGTGCTGCCCTTCCTCCTCCCTCTTCCCTCCCAATCACTGGTGGCCTCCCTCTGCAGGAGACAGGCTGGGTGCTATGACTTGGCTGGCCTGGGCCTCCCTCTTTTTTTGCTGGGGGATGGGGCTAGTCCTGTCTGCCTACCTGATTGCCCCTAACTGTTGGCCTGCCTACCTGATCACCTCTAACCATTCTGCCTGTCTGCCTGATTGTTCCTACCCACTTGCTTGGGGGAGGGTCCAACCCAGCAAGGGGCCGTCTGCCTATCTGATCTCCCTTAACCACTCTGCCTGCCTACCTGATCACCGCTAACCACTGGTCTGCCTACCTGACCACTGCTAACCACTCTGCCTGCCTGCCTGATTGCCCCTAGTTGCTTGCATGGAAGCAGGGCCAGCCTGAGAAGGGGCCATGATGGTCTGGTCTCTGGTTGTTTTGGTCATGACACCTCTGGCCTTTTATTATATAGGATATTTTAGGGTATCCATAATGGCAGCAAAACATTAGGTTACTTTGATCCCATTTTTTCTTCTCTTTCCACTCTCTGGAAGAGTATATACTAAGTAGCAAATTGTTTAGAGAGAGAGAGAGAGAGAGAGAGAGAGAGAGAGAGAGAGAGAGAGAGAGAGAGAGAGAGAGAGAGAGGAGCAAGATGCCTAAGTGAACGGGGAAAAGATCATTATTGCCTGCAATAAATTTGATACGAATTTCAATACATACAGGATTCAATATATCTCTCAGGTTGATTTGTACATGAAACATTTATATCTCTAGCCTATTTTTAACATCTCTTCAATTATGTGGATGGAAAAAACCTAGATGATGTTAGAACTTTGTAAAGCTAAATGTGCTGGAGAAATAAAGTTACTGCTGAGCCTCAGATCAATCTCATCTATTAAAAACAATTTTAACATGCTTTTTTTTTATTTAGAATTTACATATGAAAAGCATAGAAAGCATGATTATATGGCTCGATAAATGTTCAAAAAATGTACCCACTACTTAAGTGGGGAAACAGCAGCCCTGAGGAGCATACATAGAGGCAGGGATGCCTTGACTGAAATGTCATGGATTTCTTTTACCATGTCAAGGTTAGTGCTGATCTTTCCTCCATTCAAATAGCATTGCGATTCCTTTTTAAAAATCAAAGGATAATCAGATTTATTATAAAAGCTGATCCAGATTAAGATCATAGCTGAAGAAATGCAAGAGTTAACTGTGAAACTTCCAGTTGACAACTTTTATAGCTGATAACAATTGCTGTGTGTCTGCTTGGTCGTTTACCCTGTCTTTAATAGTGCTAAGCATTTGGCATTCTGCCTTCAAAATGTTGCAGAAATCATATCCAGATTTTTTAAAGCAAATTTGTTAGGGTTAGCACTTTGCTGAAAAGGTCTCGAAGAAATGACTCAGTTACAATTTTAAAAGTTAATGAGTTAGGGGTGGTGAGGGCTTTAAAAACACTCATTTGTAGATCCAGTGCAGTGTGATATCTTCTGCAAAGTAAGAGGCGTAGGTCAAAATTCCAACCTTTATGACTTGGGGGGTGGGTATTCCTATGTGTACAAAATTGTGTGGTCCAAACGGAGAGAAATCATAAAGTGATAGGGCTAAGATGAAAATCTCAGCTTTTTCAGCAATTTTTTTTTTGGTTTCCTGTTAAACTCAGTGAAATGAGAAAATCGTGACATTCATGGAGGATAAGTGGCACAGAGAGGACTAGTGAAAACAATTATAACCATTTCTTAATTCTTTGCAGCTATTACTCCCTACACCACAGCAAGATCCTGTTTAATTTAACGCATGAAAATATTTTCTTTCATAAGCCACTGCCAGAACTACAGGTTTTCTTTTTAATGACAATCAAATGAAAATTGAAAAACATGGTCAATTGATGTTTTTGCCTTTAACTTTGTTTCTTCTTTTGCTTATTGACTTAAAGAAATAATAACTGAACTGGATAATCCTTCAGGAAATTTGTCAATGTTCAACATTTAGCTGATTTACCCTTTTCAAGTATTTAGATAACTTCTTAAAAATTTTGCAGCTGCAAAACATATACAATATAAAATAACAAACCATAAGTAAAAAGATTATACTCAATAAGAGTAAAACAAAGGTGGACGAGTAAAATAAATTTAGACAGAATGCTTGCAGTGGAGCTTGTACTTATTAAAATTGGGCTAAAAGCTCCAAGTTTCCTTAAAAATAAAAATTAAACAGAAAATATTCTTACTTACAAGATTTTTTTCTGTCCTAAGTCCATCTGGCTAATGACAGACATTACTAGCTAGTGTCCAGTGAGGGCCCTAATATATATGAATAGCTTCTTGAGCTTCTGTCTTATCCAGGGTTTTAATATATTCTTTCAATAATCACAATAATTTTTGAAGAAGCTATTACCATTTCCTTATTTTGGATGAGGAAATGGAACCTCAGAGAGCTTTTGTAACTTATACAAAGTCACAGAAGCAATAAGCTGAGGACCAGAGAATTGAACTCAAGTTTCTCTGAGATCAAAGTACATGCTTTGCCCTCTACATAAGTCTGCTTTCAATCCAGTTTATAAAAAAACCAATTTAACCTTTTTTTAACCAAACAGTTCAGTGGCATAAAATGCATTCATAATATTATACAACCATCATTACTATCCATCTCCATAACTCTTTTTATCTTGTAAAACTGAAACTCTATGTCCATTAAACAATAGCGCTCCATTTCCCCCACCCAAGACCTTGGCAGCTACCAATCTACTTTATGTTACTGTGATTTTGACTACTCTGGGTCCCTCACACAGTGGAATTATATAGTGTTTGTATTTTTGTTACTGGCTTATTTCAGTTAGCACAATGTCCTCAAGGTTCATCCATGTTGTAGCTCATGTCAGAATTTTCTTTCTTTTTATAAGACTAACTAGAGGCCTGGGGCATGAAATGTGTGCACAGGTGGGCTCTATAGGCCTGGGTGGTGATCAGGGCCAGGCCGTTCAGGGCTGGAAGGCCCCAGTGGTGATGGGAGAGGAGGCCACCGTCACCAGGCCAGTTGTGGAGGGAATGAATGCAGGATGCCAGTGCTGCTATTGGTGCCCTGCCACTGCGTGGCTCCTCACCTCCCCTTCTCCTTCTTTCCTGGCCACCGCACTGCCACCAGGGCCTGCCAGCTGGAGGAAGGGATGGGGAAAGGACTGCAGGAGGTTGGCCACCAGCCCTGAGGAGAGAGTTGGCTCTCTGCTCCTCTGGGAAAGGGCCCACATCCACCACCATCCACCCCTGGTTCTCCGTCCCAGCCTGGGGCCTTCCTGCTGGGGGGAGGGTCTTGTGGGAGGTTGGCTGTGGAAGTGCACTGACCACCAGGGGGTAGCTCCTACGCTGAGAATCTGTTCTCTGGTGGTCAAGGGATGTCAGTGACCAGTCGTTCTGGTCATTCTGGTTGTTTGATTATATGGTCACTTAGGCTTTTACATATATAGATAATATTCCATTGTTTGCATGCACCACATTGCTTATCCTTTCATCTATTGAACACTTGGTTTGCTTTCACATTTTAGCTATTATGACTAAAGGTGCTATGAACAAATATCTCTTCAAGAGCCTACTTTAAATTCTTTTGGGCATACATTCAGAAGTGTAATTGCTAGATCATATGGTAATTATTTTTTTAATTTTTTAAAGAATTTCCATGCTACATGTTAATCAACCATGTATAAGGGTTCGAATTTCTCCATATTCTCACCAAACACTCGTTATTTTCTTGTTTGATGTTTTTATTGGTAGCTATCCTGATGGTATCCTGATTAGTAGCTATGAAATGGTATCTCACTCTAGGTTTGATTTGCATTTTCTGAATGTTTAGTGATGTTGAGCATCTTTTCATGTGCTCATTGGCCAATGGTATATCTTCTTTAGAGGAATATCTGTTCGAGTCTTTTGTCCAGTATTTAACTGAGTTTTTGTTTTCCACTATTGAGATTTAGGAATTCTTATATACCTGGATATTAATTCCTTATTAGATATATGACTTGCAAGTATTTTCTCCCACTCAGTTTGTTTCCTTTTTACTCTTATAGCGCTGTTTTATGAACAATGTTTTAAAATTTGTATAGAGTCCAATTTGTCTTTTCTTATTCTTGCCTATGTCTTTGGTATTATTTTTAAGAAGTCATTGCCAAATCCAATGTTGTGAAATTTTGTCCCATACTTATTTTAACACTTTTACAGTTTTGGCTCTTACATTTAAGTCTCAATCCATTTTGGGTTATTTATTTTGTATTTGGTATTAGATAAGAGTCCAGCTTCCTTCTAATGTATGTGGATATGTAGTTTTCCAATACCACTTATTGAAAATACCATCTTTCCCCCATTGAATGGTTTTGGTATCCTTTTGAAAAATAATTTGACCACTAATGCATGGGTTTATTCCTGGAATACCTATTCTAGCTTACCAGTCTATATGTCTGTCATTATTCCAGCACCACACTATAGCTTTGTCATACATTTTGAAATCAGAAAGTATAAATTCTTCAGCTTTGTTCAATCTATCTATCTATCTATCTATCTATCTATCTATCTATCTACCTACTATTCAGGGTTCCTTGAAATTCCACATGAATTTTAGAATGGGTGTTTCTATTTCTGCAAAAAATTTCACTGTGATTTTGATAGGGATTGCATTGAATCTTAGGGTATACTGATATCTTAATAATATTGAGTCTTCCAATTCATGAACATGAGATGTGCTTCCAGTTATTTATGTCTTTGTTAATATATAAGCAATGTTTTGTAGTTTTCATTGTATGTCTTCCACCTCCTTAAGTTTATTCCTAAGTATTTTATTCTTTCTGATGCCACTATAAATGAAACTGCTTTTATAATGTTTTTCGTATTTTTTATTGTTGGTGTATAGAAATGCAAGTGACTGTTGCACATTGACTTTTTGTTCTGCTACTTTGCTGAATTAGTGCTATTAATTTTGTGTGTGGAATCTTTAGGTTTTTCTGCATGTAAACTTATATCATCTGCATAGAGAGATAATTTTACTTTTTCCTGTCCGATTTGAATGCTTCTATGTCTATCTCTCATCTAATTGTTCTGGCTAGAACTTCCAATACTATGTTGTATATAAGTAGTGAAAGTGAACATCATTGCTTTGCTCCTGATCTTAGAGGAAAGCTTTTAATATTTCACCATTGAATATGACATTCACTATAGGTTTTTCATATATGACATATTACTTTGAGGTAGTTTTCTTCTATTTCTAATCTGTTCCGTTTTTTTAAAATATATTTTATTGATTTTTTTTTACAGAGAGAAAGGGAGAGGGATAGAGAGTTAGAAATATCAATGAGAGAGAATCATCAATCAGCTGCCTCCTGCACACCCACCACTGGGGATGTGCCCGCAACCAAGGTACATGCCCTTGACCGGAATCAAACCTGGACCCTTCAGTCCGCAGGGTCAGATTTTCTGTTTCTTCATGATTTATCTGCTCTCCTCTTTATCTGTCCTCTATGACAGGAGCAGCATCAGAGCACAGATTCTTGATATTTAGAAAGCAGGGTCTTTCTTGAGCCTACTGGCTCCCACAAACTGTGTGTAAGCTGCTCTGGGGATACATTCACAGTTGTCAGAGACTGGGGGATGGGTAGCTACTACTGTGGTAAGTGCTGAAACTGACCAACATTAACAATTTTCCATCAAAACCTTACCTTGGGAATTTTAAGCCTTCAATAGACTCCAAAATTTAATAGTTACATTAGATTGATTCCGCCAGTGCAATTGTTGTATAGGTATGAAGACTGCTTCTTGATGCTTCCTGCTATCGTCCTAGAATTCTCTTTAATCCACAGCTTTTGTAACTTCAATTGTATGAAAATTGTGATTATTTTTATAAATTGATTTATTCAGGCCTGAGTGATTATTTTTTTTGGAAGACTAAGTTGTCTTGGAATCGGTATCTTTTATTAGTTAATTGTGAACTTTTATCCAACAGTGTACCCCAAATCAAGAAATCTGATCATGTTTTCAGGAGGGTCTGCAATATTCCAAATATAGGCACTGATACCTAAGAACCTATATTGTGGGAAAGAGATTGAATGGCTATTAAATATTTAGTCTTTAATCTCATAATGCTTAAAAATTCAGTTAAATAAATCTTAAACATGGAGAAATGTAACAATAAATTATTAAAATAACACTTAAGTGCAAAAACTAGAAGAGCTATCAAAAAGCAGTGTAAAATAAATCGACAAATGAGTAATGCAGGCCATAACTGCTAAAGGACTTCAAAGAAAAGAAAAATCACTTTTATGTAACTGACTGAGAAAGGCTTTAGGAAAGTAGCAGCATTTTTAAACTTCCATCTCTAATTAATTTGCCAATTTGGATTTTTTTCCACTTACATAAGTTGGACAGAAAACACCATGATCAATTCCAGACCTCAGGAAATGATATTCAGGATATATAACAAGGATGCATTGAGTGTGTGTGTGTGTGTGTGTGTGTGTGTGTGTGTGTGTGTGATATGTACCTTTGAATTTGCAAAGAATTGTTTTTAGGTCTATAGACACAGTAGAGCTAACCATAATATTTAGCAATTGGCAGACATGAACAATTCCAAAAGATTCCCCTTGGGAAAAACTGTAAGGGAATTTTCCTCAATGACTAGCTGAGGAAATCGAAGAATAGAAACAGCCATCAACTGCCCATATATGTCAATGAAGGCTACATAAGTAATTTTAAAAATTTAGTTTCTGACTTAGTGTCTTGAACTTGAAAAGGACTGAACAACTTAGTAGACATGTCCTTATAAAACCAACTTCAGTCATTATTTAGTTGTATTTTGGTATGATGTAGTTCATAAATTTCTGTTATAATGAGAGTAGCACATTTTAATTCTTTTTGTTTAATAAAATAATTTCATAGGTTAATTCCCATGCTGTTAACACCTCATAAATTAATGTATATTTTGGATGAGATCATCTTGCTTGATTAGTTCTCACCTTTTCCCCCAAACCATGCTTGAACACCTTTATCAGACAGGCGTCTGAACTTTCGCCGTTTTGCATTCTTCAAGTTTCTGCTATTATAAGCTGGTAGCAGACTGAGGCCACAACGGATTTTTTTTTTTTTAATTTAATCAGACATTTAAATAGTTTTTCAGAAGTTTTCCTTTCACAAGGAGCCATATGTGACTAGCTTGGTTATACTTTCTCTCTCTCTCTCTTTATTTTCAGAATAAAATGAAGAAAGCCAGTGAACTGTCCAGATGAATTCAGTGGTATCCAAGAAGATGCTCAGATGAGAAAAAAAATGGCCAGAAATAAAAGATTCATTTGAATAGAAGTCTGAGTAGAAGCTTTGTTCTCAGAAGTATTAGAAATGCCTAAAAGTGTCCTGTGGTCAAATTAATTTTAAAATGTTGGAATGAATAAAACTATGTTTGATTATCATATCCCATATATTTGTTAAGTATTTCTGTACATTTGCTAGCATGTTTATTTATTTTCCTTCAGATGAGATAAAACTCATTTTTTTTTAAAGATCTATGCAATGCTATCCTCTGTCATGACATTTCTAATAATACTCCAGCTCATATTTGATTCAGGCCAGCACAGTTGGATTTTGCTGCTCTTGTCCCACATGCACATCTCTCTCTATCTTATTTCCCACTTCTTTCCTTCCCACTTCTTTCCTGCCCCACTGCCCTTCTTGTTGCTCCTCTAATTTGCTAACATCATTGTCACCTCAGGGCCTCTGCATGTGCTTTCCTCTTTGCTGGGTGAGTTCTTCTCTTTTATGTTTTTAGTTCTCTACTCAAATGTCGAAGTATTAGAAATATTTCCTGACTATTCCAAATAAATCGCAATCAATTCCCATTTCCAGCATTGCCTATGCCTCTTGCACTCATAGCACAACTTCATAAATTAAATATTTATCCGTTTACTTTTTGTCTTCTTCCACTAGAATGTTTGTTAGCTTCATGAGGGTATTTGTGTGTATTTTTTATTCACTCCTGTAGTCCAATGCTGAGAACAGTTGCCAGGTACACAGTAGATATGCAATAATATTTGCTGTGAATACATGATTTTTCATATTCTTACTTTTTGAATTGTATTAGCATTATTATCAGTATCACATAACTTTACAATTGATTTTAAGGCTTGGGCATTCATAAAGTTATTCTTCATCATGTTTTCTCTTGCTTCACTTCTGAAATTCACTTTGTTGGTCATTACTTATTTCAGTAACACAAGAAGGCTATAGTGAGAACCTGATATTTCGGATCCATGAAGCTCTCTGGTGCCTTTCTCATGCATATCAAGGATCTACACTGTATGTTTATGTTCAGTCATTATCATTCTTGTTATTTTAATTAATAATGGAATTGTAAGTTCAGTAAGGGCAGCAGCCATATTATATACACTTTATGTGTGTGTGTTCCTACAGTGTCTTTAACAGACTAGGCCACATTTCTGTTTAAGAATTATTTATGGATACAAATATTAGAGTAAATGTTATTTTAGACCAACAGCATGTTTTTAATTCTGCAAAAAAGTAAATACTTGGAGAGTTGCAAATGCCTGCAGTTTCTAAAACTTTTGATTTGAATTTTTCAGATGCACATTTTAACACGGTATTTTGCACCAAATAATGCAGAGAAAACACCCTACAAATAATGGAATCTGTGGTAATATTATAGTTGAAATTCTGTAACATAAATTTGCTTATTCTGCTGACCTTTTGATGACAATGCAATAACAAGAAAATAGGAGATTTTCTCAATTTAAATTGCCTTTGTGTTTTCTGATATTCACTTTGAAAAACCAAAATCATGCTTTTATTTAATGTTTAAATAGGGATATTATGGTAATAGCATCATACTCAGCAAACTCATAGTCAAAGACTTTTAGTTTCTTCCTGATTTAACAAAATAGTCATTTTCATAGGAAGTGTTTTGAATTTACTAAGATGCAGATTTCTGTTTCTGTTATTTTTATTTTAGAAATGTAAACCTATACTTTTATCAATGACTTTACCAGATGGGAGTGTCTTACATTTTTAGGCCTCCTTCTCTTACACAGCTTTTGTGTGGACAGTTCAAATTGCATTACAAACAGTTCACTCATCTGTTAAGTATTTCTGTACATTTGTGAAGGGTGACATTTTGTTGCTCAGATTTTTTTAAAAAAGGGAACTCAGATGCAGTTGTGTCAACTGAGTGCTCAAGTCCCAAGATATGCTGAGCAGATCATCTTGAATGTACTGAGATATGAGATACCTTAGTAAAGCTTAGCTAACTCCAATGCTGACCTCTACTTCCTCCATTGGATCTTACCTTTGGGTAAAAGGAGGGAATTCTTATCATCCCCTGTTATAATGTGAAAATATTTCTGAGGAGAGTCACTAATTAAGCCATAACAGTTTGTTATGGGTTTTGGGGGGTCATGTTGAGAATCTTGGAATATTAAAAAGCCAAGAGATGAAATGTAGCATTACACATAGATCAAAATCCCTTCATATGAGCTTGTTTTGAGTGTATTTAACAAATTGCATCATTTGCATTTTCCAAGAATATGTGCAACCTACTTATTCCAGAAAGACTGATGTAGCTTAGGTATAATGATCCTTAAATAGTTATCTGTAGGAAAAGAAAATGTCCTGTGGTCAAATTAATTTTAAAATGTTGCAATGAATAAAATGAAATAGGGTCATTGCTTATAGGTCCTTAGGCGATTCAAGGATAGTCAAAAAAATATGACACTGGGGGGAAACTTGTATGAAATTAATCATAGTGTCTGGGAAATAGTGAGTGCTTCAGAATATTATTGTTTTTCTCCCTCCTATATTTTTCTCCTCTTGCTCTTTGGAAAATCAAGAACTCCAGGTCAGCACTAAACAGAAATTAACATTTTATAATTTTGACTTTATTATTATTATTTATTTATTGTCTGAAGTTTTATATACATATGTCTCCTTTTTCCCAGATTGATACCAACTGCTCACCCATTCCCACCCTGGGCAAGCCCCCACCACCCCAAAGTCTGTGTCCATTGGTAATGCTAATATGCATGCATACAAGTTCTTTGGTTGCTCTCTAACCCTCCCCCCTTCCCTGCCATTTGTCTCTAAATTTATTCTTGTTCATCAAATTATGTTGATCATTATATCCCACATATGAGTGAGATCATGTAATGTTTATCTTTCTCTGACTGGCTTAGTTCACTTAGCATAATACTCTCCAGTTCCATCCATGCTGTTGCAAATGGTAAAAGTTCCTTCTTTTTTTATAGTGGCATAGTATTCCATTGTGTAGATGTACCACAGGTTTTTAATCCATTCATCTGCTGATGGGCACTTGGCTGTTTCCAAATCTTAGCTATTGTAAATTGTGCTGCTATGAACATAGGGGTGCTTATATCCTTTTTGACTGGTGTTTCTGGTTTCTTAGAATATATTCCTAGATCAAATGGGAGTTCCATTTTTAACTTTTTGAGGAAACTCCATACTGTCTTACACAGTGGCTGTACCAATCTGCATTCCCACCTGCTGGTGCACGAGGGTTCCCTTTTCTCCACATCCTTGCCAGAACTTGTCATTTGTTGATAATAGCCATTTTGATAGGTGTGAGATTGTACCTCATTGTTGTTTTGATTTGCATCTCTCGGATGATTAGTGACTTTGAGCATGTTTTCATATGTCTTTTGGCCTTCTGTATGTCCTCTTTTCAAAAGTGTCCTTTGCCCATTTTTTGATTGTTTTTTTTTTTTTTTTTTTATCTTTTGTTAAGTTAAATGAGTTCTCTGTAAATTTTGGAGATTAATCCCTTTTATGAAATATCATTGGCAAATATGTTTTCCCACGCAGTGGGCTTTCTTGTTGTTTTGTTAATGGCTTCTTTTGCTGTGCAAAAGCATATTTTGAAGTAGTCCCATTTGTTTATTTTCTTCTTAGTTTCCATAATTTTAACTTTTTATCCATTGGCCTACAGATCTTTCCAAAGAATTTTTGTTAGAATTATGTCAGTATAAAGTATTTAGTTTCTTCTTACCACACACTTGATTAGTATAATTCTTCTGTACATTCCCTTTAAGAGGTTTTTATATGAACACTGGAGGCCCAGTGCACAAATTCGTGCACAGGTGGGGTCCAGCTGGTCCGACTCCAATCAGGGCGGATAGGGGCTGGGCCTATTGGGAGGAGATGATAGCAGGAGGTTGGCCAGCAAGCCCACACCTGATTGGGGCCTGATCAGGGGTGGGACAGCTAGGGGAAGGGGCTACAGGCAATTGATTAGTGGGCCTTGCCCCTCATTGGGAAGTGGTGGGGCCAATTGGGGATTAGCAGTCAGGGAAGGTTGGCTGGCCAGCCCCTTTCCTGATTGGTGTGGGGGGGAAGTTAATTGGGGTGGAGCTGGCTGGGGGGAGGGGTCTTGGGCCGATCAGAGTGGTGGGGCCTGATTGGGAGTGGAGCCAGTCGTGGGTAGGGGCTGTGGGCAGTGGGCCAGCTGGCCCTGCCCTTGATTGAAGTGGGGGTCCAATTGGGGTCGGAGCTGGCTGGGGGAGGGGCTGTGGGCTGATTGAGGTGGTAGGGGCCCATCAGAGGCGGGGCCAGCTGGGGGGACGGGCTGCAGGAGGTTGGCTGGCCAACCACATCAGATGGGGGATGGGCCGAGGGAGGTTGGCCCTAACCCCTGATCAGGCTGGTTCACTGGCTGCAGTGGGTGTCATAGCGACCAGTTGTTCCAGTTGTTATAGTGTTCTGGTTGCTGGCTTTTTATATATATAGATATTTGTGTGAATATTAATTTTTAAATAATATGGTAATAGTTTTATAGAAAAGTGCATGGTAGATTTGAAGTGCTTTAAGATGATTATTATTTGTCTTAATGCTAATTATTTGGATCATATGCAAATTTGAAATAGAATGCTAAATATTTGATATTTAATTTATGCTGTAGGATACCCTAACTTGGATATAATTTCCTCTTGTTTCAAATCAATTTATTTTGCAGGAAGCTTTAAAAATTTAATAGGTTTTGTCTGGTCATCTGAAGTAAAAACAAGGTTCTCAAGACATGCTATGTGTGTTTCTTAAACTTATTTTTTTTAAAAAGTGTGGTCAATGATTATAAAAAGTGGCATTCATGAACATTTGGTGAAAGTTAAGAAACTTTCTAAAATAGCAATTTTAAAGTTATTGAAAAAGACAGTATGGCAATAATAAATATATTATTAATATAAACTTTTGAAGCGGTACATTTTTTATTTTAGTGTAATTTTTTGGGGGCTATCTCTGGATCATTATGACATTTTCTGGTGGTTCAAGCTAAATAGAAACCCAGGCAAACAGATTTTGAAAGATGATGGCACTTTACATGTGCTCTGGCCTTATTAATTACCCCCTTCATTTTTAATTGATTTATAGAGGTGTCATTTCCAACTGTATTT